CAGACTGGTGTTGTAGGCTCGGTCTTCATACTCCTTACCTGGCCTAGATTCAGCCAGGCTTGTCAATACACGGTGACACAGGACATCCAACTGAAATGAAATTACAAAGTCACTACTGAGTCACAGTAGCCCAGCCTGATACTTGACGTTAGTTTTTGTAATAGTAAAAAACTAGGTGTTGACTGAACTGGGACGGGAGGAGAGAGGAGGGAAGGAAAGAGCAGCGACAGGCCGTACGGGTGTGAAAACATTCAGATTTAGAGCATGGCGCATCGACCTACGAGGAGAAGAATAGGTAAGAATATGTTGCAGTGTGCTGCCACACCAAGTCAGTCAATAAGTATTTTCTCGAATGACAGTCAGTAAATAAGTACTTTTTGAGTGTTCTGTGAGTGAATAGTATGCCTGGCGCAGTGAAATTCCGTTATCGTTCACAAAAGGGTGGGCTAGTTAACAAACTGCTTTGGAGACATCATTTGAAGTAGAAGCAAAACAAAGTCAATTTCACTCCTTTAATCGTTAAGCGCAAGTAATGAAAGATTGACAGTAGACTGCCGCAAATACACAACAACTGTACAGACCTGACAACGGGTTGATTGACTGATGGCACCGGAAGTGGTGAGGGACCGGAAGTCCTCAATAGAGCGCATCACTTTTGGCTGGGCGAGGTAAAGTTGAACAAGAAACTGAGCTGTTAACCACTTGGACCACCTAGCAAGGGAATAATAAAGATAAGTTAAGTAAAGAAGAATATTAAACATAGAGTCTAATAGAAAAGTCAGGACAATAGACGAGTATGAAGACCAAAGAATAAAACGCAACATTTTCTAGTCTAAATGCCGTCGGAACTGTAGCAGCTCTCGGAAGCTTGTAATTCTATATATCGTCATAGCGTAGCAGCTGTTGTTGTTTTTGGGCTAGGGGCATTGTTTCTGTTGTTTGTTCTATTGTTCCCTCTGAGGGTATCAAGCCATTCATACGAACATCACCTTGCGAGAGCTATCTCCTGACCCAGCGTTGCGTGTGTATGCGAGTTGTAGCTAACCTCGTTCCCAGGGTCTCTATCTAACCGCCCTACCGGAGCGAGAGAGGTATGACAAGANGCAAATCATCTCACAACGAATTTGTCAGTAGACCGGCTTGTCACACAACGTCACGCATGGCTCTTGTAATGTGAATCGCCGTTTCCGAGAAAACTGAGACAAGTTGCCAGGAAAATTGGACAAGAATGAACGAATACGTTAAAGAAGGAGCTATGAAAAAAGCAATAATTCACAAGAGTGATCAACATCGAATTTTTCTCTACAAAATCAAAACATCAAACATTAAAAAACATTTTGAAACAGGTAGGTGATTAGACTAAAGGAAATCGTCAATTATAAATACTTAGTGATGTACCTTCAATTGTCCAACCTAAATTGAGAAGATTTTATTGATTAAAACGGGGAAGTAATAGTTAATTAAACCGTCAAATACTCCTACCTCACTTCCTCAGATGCACTTAAACTTCCATCTTTCATCTCTTCAAGAAAACGCTGATAATTGGGACCTAAACGGGAACACAAAAAAGATAGATACAAATTCTCTGGCAGTTTTGGTCGTAAAACGGTGCAATTTCACGGCTTACCTTTTCTTTGGCACCATTCCGCGACACGAGAAGAAAGCTCCGACAGAATGAAACCGGTCAAAGAGGAGACCTGTGTAGGACTCAAATCAAGGACTGGTTTTTCATACACCGCCTGCAAGAGAGAGAGAGAGAGAGAGAGAGAGCGAGAAAATAAACCCAGCTTTGAACAGCCTTTCTAGTGGGATGTAACCGGCGCTTTTCGATTTTTGTCTTTCGTCCGAAGTCCTACAAGGAAGCCTGTTCACAGGCTAATAAACCGAGGGAGTGATGTACAAAAAACATACAATAATATATAAACTAAACAACAAACAATCAAAGGTAACGTTCCGGAAAGATCTATTAAGTTGGACCTAAAACGTTAAACCATGTGTGACTTACAGAATTAGTTCCTTGGCTGCCCACAGCAGTGGACTTTTGATCTCTGCCTTGCCAAAGTCTTGGACTGTGAAAACAAGTCCACACAAAGTCCAAAGCTGCAGTCGGATCAAGTCTTATGAGAAGAAAAAACCAAATAAACAACAAAATGAATTAATTAAGTTGAGAATAAAGAAGCAGTTGTTTAATGAACAAGGAGGCGGAATAGTTTAGCATGCAAACTGGAAAGACAACAGTCAGCTGTTCCCAAACCAGAGCAAAGCTGCCATCTTTTAAGCTAACCAGAATCATTTGCCATGCAATCAAATGCCAATTGATTTTCGCAAATAATCCCACGCATTCCATTACATTACAAAATTACTAACAACATTTTAAGCTTACTGTCGTTTCAAAATTACATCAACTGGATCTCAATGAACTCAAGGAAGTAAAAAAATGTCAATAAAGAGCCTTAGTACCTCACGGAAGAAAATTTATTGCTGCATGATTTCCTGTTCTAGTTTTGGTTGTTCTAGTTTCTACCTGTTTTCTTCTCTGTCATGTCCCAACAGCCAATCCAGACAGTCCTGCAGCGTTTCCCAGCGTGCCTGATGCGTCAACGAGCCCAGCAGATAAGTGGACGGTGAGCGCTCTTCGTGACTAGTCAGCGACCTATCCCAACTGGGCATGCTCACTCTGTCCTGAAACAAAAGCTGCCGCTGCAATAGAGGATGGACTTGAACAACCTCCGGGTCCAGGATCTCGTACCAGTCTACTAAGAGACCGCTGACCAAGTTATCACGTGACAGATCTACGCCTTCAAACTCTTTCAACAATTGAACGAGGATTTCTGAGCATGTCTTCAAGGGGAGAGACTGCTGAGGTGTCCATACCGCCGAAGCCGATTCAGAATCTATCCTGCTTCTTGCAGAGATAAGAGTTGTGATGATGGCCTTGATAAAGTCCTCAAAGAGAGGAGAGTTTGCCTTTTTGAGTTTCAGACAAGCTAATTGGAAAGAAAAGAATATTAAACCATGCAAGAAAGCTTGAAAAAGAATTGTCCAGATAATTTTCTCTCCATATATAAATCTACGTGCACAAGTAGGTGAATTTGTAGCAAAGAGAGCGTTCAACACCATGCACAAAGCCATTTGTAGTGTGCCGATTTATGTTGAGCTCGAAATCATCTTCATTCAATCAAGCTAATTCATCAAAGTACGGGATATTTTCTCAATTAGGACGCTGCTAACCTTTTACTGCGACTTCCACAGTGATACATTCCGGTTTCACCGCGCCATCTCTACATGCCGACAGAAATGTTCTCACCAGAGAAACATAATCTGCACACTCATCCGACGCTAACTGCTCTAGGATATTGCCGGCTGAAATAAATGCAAACATGAAACAACAGCAGTAACTTGACAAGAACATTTTCGCCTTGTTTTCAGCATTAGGTAGTTTTTGGAAGCTTAAAAGCAGATAGCTACACGAAAAAAATTCAACAACCAGTTGCTTTTCTAGAACAGCACTTGACAAATGGCAGAAACCCATAACGCTCCGTCCACAACTACACCGGAGGAATTTGAAAACGCAGCTTTATTTCTCCGATTAGGCCTTCCGTCCACATAAATCCGTCACGAAAACGGAGCTTTTCGAAAACGTTCTTGAAACCGGAGGAANGGCAGATCCCGCTATACCTCGCGAACTCTCAGCATGTTTATCCAGTTATGATATTGTCGAACGGATGCCTACTACTACTGATTTCGCGACAAATTTTGTTGTAGAACATGGCGTATCGGCCTACATTCCCGCATTTATTCGACAAACCAATTTACCGAGAAAATACATTTAAACTGCCTTGCATCTTCTTACCTCAAATATCGCAGCACACATCTGTTCATTTGTTTCCGAATGGTCGACACTAACACACAAAAAATGAGATTGTGTTACTTGCGCACAAAAGCTTTACATACAGAAAAGACCAGACTATGACAAGCCCTTTGGAAACTTACATTATTATTAAGGCGAACTGAGCAAGGTGAAAGATTTCTTCCAGTTTAGACTAAAAATTAGACACCGTTTGATAATTTTTTCCGCCATAATGTAACATGCGGATTTCAAAACAGTTATAAAGCGTTTAGTTTTGCAAATGAAACTTTGTCTCTTAAAAGAATCAAGTCTTTTAAAGAATTAAAAAAATGGACGAAGTCAAACCTCATTGATTCCTCATGAAGACGAGACAACTGTGGCACAGTAGCTAAAGGTAAAGGCGTGATGCCGCCATCAAGAACTGCCAAATTAGTGCCTGTACATGAAAAATAACACATGTTCTTAACAACCTGTAAGAACAAGTAGTGACCGTACAAAGCTAAACCCACACCTAAAATGTAAACAAGTATGGTCAAAGATTTAAATAGCAGGCATGGCGCAGTGGCGAGAACGCTGGCCTCCCACCAATATGGTCCCGCTTCGATTCCGGCCCGGTGCCATATGTGGGTTGAGTTTGTTGTTGGTTGTCGCCTTGCTCCGAGGGTTTTTCTCCGGGTTCTCCAGTTTTCCTCCCTCCACAAAAACCAACATCTCCAAATTTCAAATCGACCAGGATAGGGGACCTGAATGCAAACCAGCTAAAGCTAATGTGGCTTCCTCTCTAAATATTGTAATTTATTTGTTTATTATTTGCTTTAACTTCGTTGCCGTATGCAGGTAATGAATGCGACAGAATCGTCGGAGATTACAGAGCTGTTGCTGATGACCTGTGCTCCTTAGAGAGCGACCCCTTCCCAACTCTCTAAACCAGCATTATAAGAAATGTATGGAGACCTGTAAGGAGAAAGTGTATGTTGATGATATATGGCTTACCGTCTTTCTTTTCTGGTGGTTCCTCGGTCAGTAAACAGCAGAACAAGTCTCCTCCCACAGCACCACGAAGCTGTTGAACTTCAACAAGCTGTACCATGTAACCTGGTAAACAACATCGATACACATGGTTTATTGACCAAGCGTGAGGTCAATTGGCCAAGTTTTGTTGTGCGTGTTTATGGACCTCGACTCCGTCTCGGTCCATAAACACGCAAAAAAAAGAACGAGGCCAATATCCAACCATTCTGACGAAACAAACTTGGTCAATAAAGGATTTATTATATGGAAAAAGAACACTAGCCAATCACAGCGCAGGATTCGGTTCATCTTGCCCGCTCACAGAGCTATTCATATAATAAATAGACTTATAATCAAATACGGGTTTTTCAGGCACAGAGAGTCAGTGAAATATTGCTTTTGTGCATGTATGGCGGCAGCCAGTACAAAAGTAAGAAAAACTGTCAGCCGTATAGCTTTTGAACTACTGTATACGTAAACACCAAAAGCCGCAAACTCAAATTATATTTCCCAACCTTTATCCAACACAGCCTCCTCTATCCCCACCGGGTCCTCTTGCGAAGCTTTGTCCAACTGTTGAAGAAGTTTGCTAAAATGGGAAATCAAGTCCCGATGGTAAGCAAGCATACACACTAGGGCGTAGAGGTGGAGTTGGGAGGCGGGGGATTCACATCCAGTTGAACCTCCAGTTGCGACCACCTCCCCTCAGCGACCAGTTTTCCAAAATACCAAACGATTTCAAGTCAAATCACTATATTTGGAATCGCTTATAAGTGACCAACTCTCGTAAACGACCGCGACCACGTTTAGAGCTAAAAGTCTGAAATTTTCTTTTGTTTTTAACTTCCCGTGAGCGACAACTTGACAGATAAAAGAGCGGAAATTGGATAACATTATCGCATTCCTGGCTTGTACAAGAGAAATTATCAATGGGAAGTACTGGATTTTTTTCTCAAATTGACTTTTCACATGCATAAACATTTACAGATTTAAATACAAAATGCACATACACTGCACTCTGTCAGTCTTAAATGAGGCAAAATTTTGACTCAATATGGTCTAAGTTCTCGTAAGCGATCACCTCCCGTAAGCAACCAACTAGTCTCGACATTTTGGGAGGTCGCTTCTTAGCTTTGGGAAAATAGTAACTACCGACGACATAATAGTACTGAGAAGTAAAGTAATTTATTCACAGCAGAAGTCGGAAAAAATGTTGCCGCGGAAGATTTAGTGACGACTTTTTATACATTATTTCTTGTTTATTTGTGGATTGTAGATTTTTTGTATTGTCAAATTTGTAGTTTCTAAATTGTTGCTAGTCGTACAGGATATCGTTTCTAGTTCATCTTTGTCTGGTTCTTCAGACAATATCAAATTACATGTATCTTCGTACGCTCGTTATTGTACGCGAGGCAAGATCGAGGTCAGACAATTTAAACTGCAACGAAAATTAAGAATTTCTTACCTCATACTGTTCACTGGAATTCCAAACGACTGAGCAAACAACACAAGCTGCGACGGCATCAAGTCATTCAAAGCTGCAAAAAAGAAGTTAAAAGAAGTTAGGCGATGACAGCTGCACAAAAAATATTGATAAACCGACAAGTTGTTGTGTGGCGCGGTGTCGGTGTCCTGCTACTACAAAGCTACTTACCAGCATCCACCACTCTGGAGACCTGGGACCTGATCATGCGCAGTCTGAGCCACTCTTGCAGCAATATGGCTTCCTCCCCGGTATCTGTCAGGTACACCTTCACTTGTCCTTGCTCAGGGCACCAGGCGTTCAAAAGAGCAGTGTACAGACCAGTATCTCCTGCGACCACAGAAATTTCAACTTAGCACGAGGTAAAAATAATGAATAAATGTAGTTCTTCTACGCTTAAACGTATGATTTACTGAACCACTGAAGGTACTATGCTCATAGAAAAGGATGCCTCGATTCAAATTGATTCATTATATAAGAACGTCAGAGGGTCTAAATTCAAAAGAATTTAGTCTGCTAGGCTCAAATGCGGTGAATCTGTGACCTCAATTAAATCCTCTTTTGTTTTAGGCGACATAACTATGGATTCCTTTAGTCCTCATGTATGTTCGTAATTTATCGTGATAATGTCACACAATCCATCGTCACACAATCCATCAAATAATTTTGTTCGTGCGCGATAGGTCTAAGCGCGTCACGTGACTGAATATGTCCCAGCTAAAAATAGGGAATGTCCGAGCAATATTTCCCAATTTTCAGGTACGCTCTGGGAAAACTATTCGCTTCTTGGAACAGATAATGTCCGCGGACAAAGATCCGAGCATATTTTCACGCCAAATGGAGGCTATTGTTTATATATTGATGACTCATGTGGTACTGCTGTTATGGATCAGTTGCTTGATATAACAGCATTATTGACTGACCTTGCGGTTCCCCGTAAGTCAGTAACACAATCATGGCGTGAATGACCAACACGTGCAAAGTGGCCGCCTTCCCAGCATACTCCGTGTCTTTAGACCACTGTACAAATAATTGGTCTTGTGTCTCCTGCTACATGTGTGAAAAAACAGACAAAAATATTGAATAACATAATCTAGAACGAGAACAGTTTTTCTTTATTCATACTTCCCTTTTTCCCTCACCCTCTTCCGTACCTAGAGTAGCTGTTCTTTCCCCTATTTTCCAGGGCCGGTATTGCTGAGGTCGTGGATTCGAATCCCGTACAGGCCTGAATTTTTTCCCATCTACTTAAATTGTGTGCATAACTGCGATTTCAATCATGTCTTCATATCTTTCTCCTCAGTTCAAATATATGATCTTTCATATATTCTCTTGTATTCTTCACCAACTACGGGTATAATACGAACTCACAAAGTGAACAGCTCCCAGATGGCTTGATAGCTCAGTTGGCAGAGCACTCAAGCGGTATCGCAGAGGTCATGGGTTCGAATCCCGTTCAGGCCTGAATTTTCTTTCAGGCTTTAATGTCACCTCTGCTTAAGTTGTGTGTATAACTGCGATGATCAATAATGTCTTCATACTAACAAAATAGTAATAGCTTACAGCTGTGTCTCATTTTACAGAACAACCAACTCTATCTGTACTAAATGAGACCCTCTTTGTGTGCAGACTCACCCAGGAGAAGTTTCCTTCCTGCATATCAATAGCTTGTTGTAAAGCGATAGTGTACAGTCTCAGTAACGCTTGATAAGTTTCTTGTCCAGTCAGCCCTTTGTCTAGAACTGGTGCCATGATGGTGGGTCGCTCTATAATCAACTGTGCCACGTCCTGGGGAGAATGTTAAAGGAGGAACGTCACGGTTTGCGCATCTTGAAAAGGTTAACCTAAATTTTACAAGTTCGTCGTTTGCAATCCTTGTTAATCTTCTCCATCCTTAACCATCCTTGTTCCTTAATGGTTTGTTATTATCTCTTTGGTATTTTTCTATCTTTCTACACGTGACATGTTTAGACCAATCATGCGCGAGCGAAAATATTTGATGGATTATAAAGTTTGATAGCCAGCTCTGTAAGCTTTTATTTGATACAGGGGTTTAAGTATCTACAGTTTAAACCGGGCGCGCTACATCGCTTATATGTGAGACACCTCTACAGGTATACGGTGACCTTAATGGGGAAAAATGTGGACATTGATGTCAACAACGATCGCTGTATACTCACAATGACTGTGGCTAAAAACTCTTCTTCGCCACTGTCAGTAGCGTGATCAGCCAGGAACATCAGATAAGCTTGTGCTCTCTCAGGCACGATCTCAACTTGGCATGACTTTGAAATAAGACACAAAACAGTTAGGCTTGTCAGGTTCTCTTTATCACTTCTGAACGGTTGCCATCAATTGTACTGTAGCGAATTTGTCAATCCCCCCTTGCATTCAACGTATCCTCAGCCAGATTTAATTCCCAATATATGGTTGCCTCAGACATCACTTTTCAAAATTCCCTGCTTTTCCCATGAAATTTCCCTGATAAATTAAAAACAAAATTTCCCTAACCAGATAAATATAAATTGTCAGATATAGTAGCGGCCCCCTGCCTGTCCTTACAGCCGTCTTTTCCAACCGTATATTGAAAACAGGTCAGTTTTCAACAAATTTATCTTCTCATTAAGCAAAACAGTGATGCGATGTATTTCTTACAGTCTGCGGTGGTGTTACAAATTGTTTCAGTTTCCCCTGAGTTTTATATTTGTATGCTATGTTATAGTTTACTTGAACTTGACAATGACCTTGGAGAGGTCGAAACATTGCTCGTTTTTATCACTGATTTATAATATCAAAACAATTCCCCTAAATTTTCTTTAAAATGTCAATTTCCCTGCCTCAAAAAAAAATTCCCTGACTTTTCCTTGACCTTGAAGAATTTGTTTTTCCCTGACCATTTCCTGGCCTGTGGCAACCCTACAATATAGACTCACCTGCCTCAAGGCAAAGCAACAAGTCGCTCTCACNCATCAGATAAGCTTGTGCTCTCTCAGGCACGATCTCAACTTGGCATGACTTTGAAATAAGACACAAAACAGTTAGGCTTGTCAGGTTCTCTTTATCACTTCTGAACGGTTGCCATCAATTCACTGTAGCTAATTTGAATTCAACGTATCCTCAGCCAGATTTCATCCCCAATATATGGTTGCCTCACACTTCATTTTAAAAAATTCCCCGCTTTTTCCCTGAAATTTCTCTGATAAAAACAAAATTTCCCTAACCAGATAAATATAAATTGTCAGACATAGTAGCGGCCTCCTTCCTGCCCTTACAGCCGTCTTTTCCAACCATATATTGAAAACATGTCAGTTTTCAACAAATTTGTTTTCTCATTAAGTAAAACAGTGATGCGATGTATTTCTTACAGCCTGCGGTGGTGTTGCAAATTATTTCAATTTCCCCTGAGTTTTATACTCGTATGCTATGTTATAGTTTACTTGAACTTGAAAATGACCTTGGAGAGGTCGAAATATCGCTCGTTTTTATCAATGATTTATAATATCAAAAAATTCCCCTAAATTTTCCTTAAAATGTCAATTTCCCTGCTTCAAAATAAAATTCCCAGACTTTTCCTTGACCTTGAAGAATTTGTCTTTCCCTGACCCTTTCCTGGCCTGTGGCAACCCTACAATATAGACTCACCTGCCTCAAGGCAAAGCAACAAGTCGCTCTCACAGCATCAAAGTGAGGCAAGCTTGGCAAGCTCACCAACAGCCACTTGAAAGTCTTGGAGACCGTGCTGCCTGCTGGGAATGTTGGAGAGAACAGTTCTTCCATAGTGGTTACCATGGCACTGCCCTCCAACTCCTCTTCACACACCACGGTCACATGACCATCCACTTGAACTGCCTCTTGGGATAGCACTAGTTCTAGACCCTTGGAGAATGGTTGAATAGATTTTTCACATGTGCTCACACTAACCATTTAGATGGCAAAAGGAACTTAATTGAATGGAAAATGGCAATTGTATAAATATGAGTTATTGACCAACCTCGTTCAGTCAAGATGGATGGATATTGGCCAAGTTCTTTTTTTGTGTGTGTTTATGGACAGAGACAGAGTCGAGGTTCAAAAACACGCTAAAAACGAACGAGGCAAAAATACAGACATCTTGACTGAACATGGTCGGTCTAAAAAGGATTTTTAAAACACTAATTTCTTGCGGGACCCAGCGGGTAATCCCGCTCGGATAGCCAATCACATCGCAGGATTCGGTTTATCTTTCCCGCTCACGGGCATTATTACAATGTACCTTAACAGCTGAATCTCTCTCTGCTGTTTGCACAGAGGACAATCTTCTCATGAAGTACTCCAACACTTCTCCTGTAGACTCCGCGTCAGCTTCATTACCAAACAACAGTGATCTCAGTCGTCCCAGAACATGCCGCTGTATGTCCTAAACAAATATCACAGTTTTGTTATGCTTTTGGCGACCGTGTGTATTGCAGTGATCAAACGAAGTTTGTAAGAGCTTGAAGAAAACATTCCAAAACAAGCAGATAAAAATATACCATCTTTGCATATGCGGCGCGCAAGTTTAACTTTTTAGAGACTTTTTTGAAACTGGAGGTTCTCGGAAATTTGAGAAGTTAAGCGGTCGCTTTGGCGAGAAAAATGGGGCGGGAACTGCATGTACGCAGCACGATTAAATACTGTGGAAACATATGTACTGTACCTCCATATACACTAAACGATCAAAGATCTTTATTATACCTCCCAACTCAAATAATTTTTCTGATTGGAGGAGAATGTGTCACGTGTCATGGATCAAAACTCACTAACTCCCTAGGGAAACAACAACTTGAACTTTCGACTCGCAAGTGATCAGGTCGTGCACCTTGAAACTGCGGAAAATTTGTGTGCCAGCCGGCGTCAAGCAAGAAATTTTTTGGCAGTTTGTTTCATTTTTGAGTTGGAAGGTGTAACAAAACACTTGATAACTAGCCCCAACATTTTGCTTAAAGGACNGGCAAAAATCCAGTCATCTTGACTGAACATGCTTGGTCAAAAAAGGATTTTTAAAACACTGATTTCTTGCAGGACCCAGCGGGTAATCCCGCTCGGATAGCCAATCACATCGCAGGATTCAGTTTATCTTTCCCGCTCAAGGGCATTATTACAATGTACCTTAACAGCTGAATCTCTCTCTGCTGTTTGTACAGAGGACAATCTTCTCATGAAGTACTCCAACACTTCTCCTGTAGACTCCGCGTCAGCTTCATTGCCAAACAACAGTGATCTCAGTCGTCCCAGAACATGCCGCTGTATGTCCTGAACAAAAATCACAGTTTTGTTATGCTTTTGGCGACCGTGTGTATTGCAGTGATCAAACGAAGTTCGTAAGAGCTTGAAGAAAAATGTCCCAGTCTTTTGTAAGAAAACATTCTAAAAAAGGAAGATGAAAATATACCTTCTCTGCATATGCGCCGCGCAAGTTTACCTTTTTAGCGACTTTTTGAAATTGGAGGTTCTCGGAAATTTGAGAAGTTAAACGGTCGCTTTGGCGGGAAAAAATGGGGCAGGAACTACATGTACGCAGCACGATTAAACGCTGTGGAAACATATGAACTGTACCTCCATATACACTAAACGATCAAAGATCTTTATTACACCTCCCAACTCAAATAATTTTTCTGCTTGGAGGAGAATGTGTCACGTGTCGTGGGTCAAAGCTCACTAACTCCCTAGGAAAACAACAACTTGAACTTTCGACTCGCACGTGATCAGGTCGTGCACCTTGAAACTGCGGCAAATTTGTGTGCCAGCCGGCGTCAAGCAAGTAATTTTTTGGCAGTTTGTTTTATTTTTGAGGTGGAAGGTGTAATAAAACACTTGATAACTAGCCCCAACATTTTGCTTAAAGGACTATCAAAGCTTGGTAGTCAACTGGTAATCCAGATTGTTGTATAAAAATGTTTCGTCGCCATGTATTCAATTAAAAGAGAACGAATAAAGATTGTTGTTGTTTTTGTTAAAAATTATGATCAAAAACAGTCACTCACAACTCTTTTATCTTGTAGCTCCTTGGAGGATCCTTCACCCTCTTCCTTGACGCTGTCAGCAGTTTTTTCCAGCAACAGAAATTCACACAGGCATTGTACTGGTAGCACGTCTAGTGATCCTTCAGAAGACTGAACAAGCTCCGCTAGCCATGGCATACTTTGGGATGCACCCTGAAAAAAAAATAAAGCGAAGCATATTAGGAAGAAAAGACTGGAAGCTCTCTTAACGGACACTCTCGTAAGCGGACAGCTCTTCTTTCGGCCACCTTCACAAAATCCCGTTTAACACCCATTCAAACTCTGCATTTACTCATTCCCGTAAGCAACCGCGGACAGTATGAGGTCTTACGATTTAGACGTTCCTTTGTTTTCAAGCTCCCGTTAAGCGGACACCCAGAATTGGAAAGGAATTGGGCCCGACTATGAAAGATCTCGTAAACATTTGTAAACTTTGTCACTGCTTTCTGTTGCAATGAAACTGTTAATGCTAATGTTAATGCTGGCTGCAAAATTTTATGATTTGTTCTTTAATCACTAATGGCCAGTAGTCCTAGTACTGCAGTATACAGCACTAGTACTGTATACAGTTATTGCCATTATCGCGGTATTCCATTGCCTAAAAGAGTTCAAAATTCATTTTGATTACTGTACAACATTTTTAAATTCTAGGACCATTCCGGGTCGGAAAAAAAGGTATTATCATACGAATTACAGACTGGTTTAGGTTACAAGCCACAAAAAAAAAAAGACACAAAAAAGTCTTGACAAGAGATCTTGAGACCACCTTTAATATTTCTCACGGTTAGTGGTTAAATGTTTCACGGATAAGTTTTGGCCCGTTTTACGGCTAACGGTTTTACCTCATTGAGACCCTCTTGTAATCTTACACAAACACAAAGTATGGTTCATGCGTCTTTTATTACCTGCCTCTGGATGATTTCCAACAGGAAGTCAGGTGAGCGGCTGCGGCAAAGCATCTGGCCCAGTTTGAGAGTCTTGTTTGTTGCTTTCAGCTGATCGATAACATTCTGAGGGGGACGACGTGCAGGTCCACTGAAAAGAAAGATAAATGTTCTGACAAGTTTAAACTGCATGCACATGATAGCAATCAATGTTCAAATAACATCTTGCCGTGCTAATGTTATTCATAAAGCGCGCAAAGAGCAGCTAACAGATTTCCTAACGTTTTGTTCTTTTCGTTTTTCCCCATCGCAGTTTTGAGAAAAGCGCAAATATGGTGGAAAAAAAAAAGGATTACACAAGTCAAATCTGATCAATGCGAAGCATTTAGGAGATTACAAAATTAAGCGATGGTGAATTAATTAAGAGCTTGTCTCCAACTTATACGGCCCAGGTTAAATCTGCGCCGGCGGGTAATTACACTCGCACACTGTATATGGGTTTCATCTATTGTATCTTCCATTCATCGCACAAGCTGTCTCTCGACTCTTTTATTGCCCCCCACCCCCCCCCCCTCCCTCCTCCTTCTTCAAAACCTAACATTTCTAACTTCCATTTTAGCCGGGACTTGTGAATTGTGGGGGGAGGGAGGGCAGACAGGTTTATCAGTCATTAAACAAAGTTAGTTTGTCAACTGCATTTATGTCTGAAAAACAGAGTAAGGGCCAGCAGGAAAATTTACCATTTACGACCTACAATGAACGGCTCAATCACTTAGGCCTGGTTCACACTAGCGACACAAGGAAAAGATCTCTTTTTTGTTCCTTATGTCCTTATGTTCATGCTGTTTTGTTGCTATTATGTCGTTATGTCAGGATGTTCACATTGCAAACATCACTACATAACGTCCTTCTTACGTCGTTGTCCTTATGTCGTTACGTTGTCGCTAGTGTGAACTAGGCATTAGCAAGCACTGCTATTGTACTTACACAGGATCCATGCTAATCAGCTGACTCAGCAACAAACTATTACTTTCTGTGATGGTCACTTTAGTCGTGGCTGCTGCCAGGTGTGATTCAAATAATAGGATCTCTTCCTTCTCAGCTTGTGCCAGCTGAAACACATACCAACGAGTAAGGATTTTATTATTTTATCACAAAATATAACCCTCGCACATTCATTCAAAACTAAATTTGTATTATCGGATTCTACCATTTCAGGATCGTAGCTAGTAATAGGCAAACCGAGGCACACGCCACAGTAAGTTTTTTTTCGTTTGTGTTGTTTGTAGTCATTTTCTCAAACTCATTAATAATTCATCAGGTTAAAAGAAAGAAAACCACAACCGTGAACGAGGTTTGGATACCCGGTCTTAATTAGCATAGATTTTGACAATTTTACTTCTCCGTTTATTCCTTAGTTTTTGTTTCGATTGAGAAGATATATCAAACACCCGAGACAGCATTTCATCAGCTATCCAAATACCTCGAATTTCGTCAAAAATACTCGGCTGCGCGTCGTATTTTCAACTCTCTTCTCGGTGTTTGGATATCCCGATGAAACACTGTCTCTTGTGTTTGATATATTACAAAACCACCCTAAATACGTAGGAAGAGAATTGAACCATGGACATTGCCCCTTTATTTTCGTGGACGTTGTCTCAGTCATATCTACTTTTTGGCTACGGCCCTGAATTTCTGTAAAATTCTGAAAGTAGGGACCTATTTATTAACTATGCCTTTTGGATTCAGCAGGCAAACGGAACCACTACTAACAACTTTCAGGAAACCATTACTTTCATAAAAGTTTTGTTTTCATTACTTTCAGTAGGTCCATAATTATCCGAATTCTAGGCTGCATTGAGTTCAAAAGGAAATCTGTCCAGTGAAATTCATTCAAAATACAACTCCAAAATTCTCTGCCATTTTATCCTGAAAAAAAACCCTCACAGTTGTGTAAAAATCTACTGTTTATTTCTTTGAATTCCACTCAATTAATAGGCCATATTCGTATTCTCGGTAATGGACTGGAACTAGCTTGGAATGGAGGCTCATGCGGGGGAATGTCATTAAAAAGAGATGAAAGTCATTTGCATTTGAAAAGACTCCCCGCATAAGCCTCACTTGCAAGCTAGTTCCAGTCCTATACCGGGAATACGAATATGTACATGTAGTGCAGTATTCTTCTTTTCATAGCAGAATAAATCTGATCTTTAGGAGCTACGTCACAGTTTGCACATCTTGAAAAGTTTAGCAATAATTTTTCAAGTTTGTCATTTGCAAGCCCTGGTAATCTTCTCCGTCCTTAACCATCCTAATTGTTCCTTTTTGGTTTATCATTATCTCTTTGGTGTTTTTCTTTCTTAGTCAACTACTGTTTTTAAGTTTCCTTCAATGAAAAGGTGACTTTGTACATGGCCAAAATACCGTGACTGAGCTCCTTTGAGAATTACTACCAAATTGCTATCATTTTACGAAGGTGTACAGTACTGTTCAGCGCTTACCTGCAACTCTTGAGCGAGTATCTCATCTTTCTCCTCACTCGTCACTGCAGCAGTTGGTGGTGGAAACGTAAAGTTGCTATGTACAAAGCACAAAGAACGCAAAATTTATTTCAGTCCTCACATAATTGCATTGGAGGGTTGCACCTTTAAAGACGGGATTGATGTTTCCCCTTCCTCATAAAAAAAACTCAACTGGTTTTCTCCATTTGTACATTGTAGGAGTTTTTTGGTCTAGTCTATATCACTAGAAATATATCAAACACAAAAGACCGCGTTTGATCACATTTCCAAACACCGAGAAGGGGGTTGTCAAAACCACGCGCAGCGGAGTATTTTTGACGAACTTCGAGGCGTTTGAAAATGCGGTCAAACACTGTCTTGAGTATTTGATATATCTTCTCAATCGAAAAGACTAAAGACTGAGGGGGAAAAGAGTTCCATGATGACATGATGACTCGACAATTTGCTGATATCTAATTAAGCAAAGTTTGCAAAGGTAAGGTGTCTTACTTTGTCATGAGCATTTCCATGAGACATTTCAACATTGGAAAATTATCCCAGCCGGATTGGCCTGTGAAAAGAAACAAACAACAAGGTTGGACAAACATGCAAGGAAAAGAATTGGTGTCAGCCACCAAAAAGTTGAGTGAAATATTAACCATCACTAGACTATTATATTTTAGATACATCCATATTGTTTTCAATAGACACTTTGCAAAAATACCACCTAAACTTGAATAACAAAACTTCATCAGCCTAAGCCAGCCTAAGTCTTGAGCTGATGTTTCCAGACAAAGGATTTTTCACATGGACTTTATAAGTACTGCTATTCAAATAGCACCACCATTTTTGCAAAGTGCCTAATGCATGCACTATACATAAAGTTACAGCCTACTTTAGCAAGTCTGCAAGTAGCATTTTGTTACATTAAGACTAAAACAGAGCAAGTTAATCTAGACTTACCAATTGAAGATGGGTTTAAAGATGCGACTACAGCAAGTAAAATCCAACCTTTCCAGTACAGATTAGCAATTGCCAATTTTGGAGCAGTGTATCTGTAGAAACAAACATGCATCTGGCTTGCTAAGGCAGCACTGATTTGCTTTAAAGTATAGGATTGAAATGTTATCTTGGCTTCTAACTGACGAAAGGATAAGAATACAGCATCTGTAAATATCATTCCACAAAATATTAGAAGATGAAAATCATCATCACCTGTTAAATGAAAATATCGCCCACGTATGTGACTCTGTTGTGTGTTTCAATTATTAATTAGTACGTACCCTGTAGGCAGGATGATGTCCTTAGGATGGTGATAAGCACACAGGTTGAGAACAGCATCCAAGAGCTCCAAACGATTCACTGAAAGAGAAGAGTCTCCTGTTGAACAGCAGGCTAAATATTAGCTGCATTGTTATCAAGTGGAAATCCATTATTGAACTTGAGAAACTTTTCACTTGTAGAATAGGAGGTACATGTATTTTCTGTTAATGGTGACTTTGGATAGCTAGAGATTGAGAGGTCTTGATACTAGCCCAGCAGGATCCCTTTATTGAGATCTTGGGAAGCCTAAGTTAACTATAATTGTTCATGTATTTATGTTAATTGTTCATGTATTTATTCATGTATTCCATACATGAGAGAGATCTGAATTTATTTGACCCCCAAAATTCCAAACAGGTGATGTCTCAAGCTGTTTTTGGTACTCTGTCAAATGTTTGCACACAGAGTAACAACCAACTTAGCCTGCAGATGCAGACAGGTTTGTCGGCAGAGTGAAACAAAAGCTAGAAATCCATCTGTGTTTGCAGGCTACAACCAACCAGAGACTCTACCTTTTGGGTTGAATCGGAGACTTTCCTACAACACAGGAAGAATTTAGAAGTACATGGACAGAGTTTGTTAAGTTGAGCTTAGTTTTAGTAACACTTGAGTGGGCAGCCTTACAGACCTGATTGGGAGCTTTGTATCCATGGAGAAGGAGTCTTGATGGCTGCCACTCTCCGCACCAAGGAATCTGCTATTTCAAGTGTTTCTGGTGCAGTTAGTGGCAGCTCATTAGACAGGCCAATTATGATAGTCCTCATTAGTGTATCCTCTTGTACAGGAACTTCACTGATGATACTCAGCAACAAACTAATAAAGAAACAAAACAACAAGGTCTGGATTAGCAAATGCTCTACATAAAAATAATTAATAAACATATATATCTTGCCACAGTTAACCCTAAACAAAAAAAATTCATCCAGAAGCATTAAGCTTGATGCCAAATTAACTTCCAGGAGGAATAGAACACAAAATACATGCTGTGGCTAGTCTTCTTTGCAGCTATTATTTGCAATGGGTTGTCATGCAATGCTCCTACCCAGGATGCGAAAAAAATTAGCTACAGTACAGCTGTACCAAGATTACAAAATAATACTGCTGCACATCCCTGTCAATGTTTCACATAATAAAAGCAGTATTTATCTTACATGTACAGTGCATCTCTTGTTTATGACTTTTACAGGATTATACATGTATATGTTTATTCCTCGGTAGACTACAGTTCAACTCCTTGGTCATGCTTGTAAATAGTCAACTGGTCTGCCTCCTGCCAGTTGGGGTTTTTAACTATGTTATGTTCATTTGCATTATTTGTTTCATCATTTGGTTTCGTTGGCCCTGAAAAGCCCCATTGGGGGAGTGGTCAATTAAGATATTTATATTGTTTTACTGATGATATAGACTGATTAGAAGTATTTTTCACCTTCTGTCATTCTCTGGGGGCCAGTTGTCTTTTCCCACGTAGTTGTCTGCTGGATCCAGGAAAAGCACTTTATTCATGCTTTAAGAAAGAACACATTCATTTTTACATTTATGTAGCAGTTAAATCATAGTTAATAGAGGGGACTGGTTATGAAACCCGGCAAACATCAAAGGAGCAAACAAAGATGCCAAGATTTATGCTGGAAGGTCCACCACCATGCACAATTTTTTGTTTTGCGCTCATACACTATGCATGAATCACGTAACCAACACGTTTCTATAGGTTGGTTTCTCAGTATAAAGTAAACAACTATTGTGTTTTGTGCACAGTCAAGGCCAAAAAAGTGAACAAAACATACAACAAAGAACTTTGTCGGGTTTCATAACCATTCCCCTCCATTAACTATGGTTAAATAAATGTTGCTGGTGTCACAAACATCAGTCTAGAATGATCACACCATGTAGCAGACTTATTCTCATGTATGAAGGAAACTTTATTGTGACTGGATCTACATACACTACAATGTATAGCTTGAGATTAAAATGTGAGCTATAAAAAACCACAACAAAACAGATCTACATGTGTAATCAATGCAATAATTTATTACATGTAAGTCAGTGACTACGTTTCCAAGAAAAAGATCATAAATTTGTGTGCCTGTTTTATGGTAATGATAGCAATTTGGGAACAATGACAATGGTGGTGAAATACTAAAAAAAGCATGTAGACAAATTAAGTATCTGGGCTTGCTTAGCAATGTGGTAGAAGAAGTCAACAGTAGTCAAAAAACTGCTTTAAAGTGATGTTAGCCTCTTACCATGACAAGAAATCTTTCCCACTAGGACTGAACATTTTCGGTACAACAATATGTAACCACCAGACAGCGTCACGCTGGATTGTGGACACTGATTTCTGAAATTCCTGAAGTCCTGACCAATCTGGGAAATATTCATTATCAATTGATATTTCATAAATATATCAAAATTACACAAAGTCCAACTTCATAAATGACTGCATGAAGTTAAGATTGAAAAAAATTCTCATTAGAGGTTAAATTTCGTGTCACGTCTTATCATGATGTTATACAATGAATGTCATTCTGAAAATCTGTCATCGAGAATTTGGAGATATCTGCAAACAAGATATATAGAGAGTATTACATGGCCTCACGGAGACATGAAATCTCTCTGCTAGTATTTTGCAAGTGAGTACAGGGAACGAGTGAAATGTTTTTCAACACTCAAAGAGAAATTTTGTATCTCCAAGCGGCAAAGCAATGTTCTATTTATTATATAAACACCAATAAAATATTAAACCGTTTCATTTTCACTGTGAAATGCGCTATTTATTATGTAACTATAGCAATGGTGACCTTTTCACATGTGAAGATATAACGTTTTTGTGTGAATGTTCACCTGTGATTTCAGTGGCGTTAATATAATAAAAAGTCTTATTTCTCGGCAAATCGTCTTTTAAGAGCAATATTACTTCATCTGTGAGTGGATAAGATTCTCATTCATTAATATTACATATTGAATTTGGAGATATTTTTGACATGGTTTGCATTTATCCTGGGTGGAGAGAGGCACTGCAGAGTGAGGTAAGGAGAACATAGTACCTTTCTTTTCTCCTCTTGCAGATGCACTGTTAAATACATCCTTAATGCTGGGCGTAATACTAAGAAAAGTTGCCATGGTGATAAGATCTGCTAAGGAAAGCAGCATACGATCCTGAAAATGAACAAATCAGTACATGTGATGGCATATTTTCCAAAGTGATTCTGAGTACTTGTAGCTTAAAGTAGCTTAATTAAAACTAAAACTTACAGTAGCACACATGATGAACAATATAGCTAACCTTTAAGGAAGCATCAAGGTCTCTAAACTGACTTTCAGTTCTTTCCTTCATAAACCCTCGGCATAGAGCAACAAAGTCCATATCATGTCTCAGAGCTCTGACAATTTCCCTCAATAGGGCACGTGATGCTCGTAGGTAGTCATCCCTGAAATTAACAAATTGAGATGAGTAATACTGATGAACGAGATTTATCAGAATGCTTTTAAAGGTGCAATTTAAAATAAATAAAATTAATTATTGATGTTATATTATATTGATGTGCCTGAGACATCCAGGAGCTTCCACTATTGGCAGCCAGCTCCTAGATGGAGACTGCTCCCATGGCTGGCAAATCCTGGCAACCCAGTCATGAGCCCCCACGTGGAAGGGAGGAAAACTGATAAAACAGTGGAAAGAGAGGAAGGGACAGGGGAGGGGAAACAACCTCTGAGAAGAGTCCCTCCATTCAAAAAATAGTGTGACTCAAGGAAATGCTGACTACATGTAAAATGCAAACTGCTACATGTGCAACACTCTTTGGCCCAAGACCAAGTGGAATCTTGGGGAAAGCATATACATGTACATGTAGCCAAACACTGCTAACTGCTAAGGTAGGACTTTTGCTCTTTGTTGTTAACTCCGTTAAACTGCATTTAACAGCATCTACAATATTGTAACTTACTTGTTTGTCAGCAGGTCTTGAAACACCATAGCCAGCAGCTGTGAAGTAAAATAATTATTACATATTAATTTATATTTGGTTAGTAACTTTTCACACATTAATTTCTGATAAAATAAAGTACAGTAACTGTACTTTCATGACTGTGTAATGTGCAATTAATTACGATAAGCGCAACCAGCTATGGCTTACAATGAAACAGACATGTCCATTTGTACATTTACATGTACAAATGTATAGTGCTACNTACTAGGGAAAAAGTCATGAATATGGCCTTCAACAATTTTCACTTTATTTTTGATTCTATGAGTTCTCAGAATCAAAACATTTCATAGTATTTATTTCAATGTTCATCTGTTCAAGTACACAAATCCAAGATGGAGTACAATCATGTACATGTACTAAGCAAAACCAGAAGTATATCACCTCAAAGGTGATATGCTTCTGGCAAAACTTAGAAGATTCACTGAAGATTTCATACAAAACAAAAAATCACAATTTAAAGAAAAAAAAATTGTACAAGTAACACAGGATTCTAACTAGTAAGGAAACTTTCAGAAGTGAATATTGGACACCTACAGATTTTATGTATTTTTTCATTTTTTTGCAATCCAGTTTGATGCAGATCATAACCAAAATGTTTATGTTACTGTTGCAATAAATGAACACGCAAATTACCTTGGGATTTTGAAGCCACATCTCAAGCCTATGGGAAACCGACAGTCTGATCTGACTGTACCCACATGTGACTGTCAGCAGTTTCAACAAGTTGCGTGTGATGCTGTCCAGTGGCTGACGTCTTGTTAATTGGTCGTGAACAAGTTCAAGGATATAGGTCTGGATATTGTGCTCAACAGAAGATGACATGAACCTTAAGTTGCATCATGAAAACAAAAAAAAAATTACATACTAGTAATTCCTTGCTGTTCTCAACGTCTTCTGGTACGGAGTGTACTTTTATTATTTGAGGCTACAGACCACATGCTTGCATGAATTGTCTATCTCAATTTGTTGAGTTCATGGTGTCTAGAAAAGTGTTCAGATTATGTTTTATGATTTTTATTTCTCTGTTTTCTCCTTAGCTTTATTTTTTTATTAACAACTTGAGATAATCATTCTAAATTTAAAAAAAAAGACAGTTTCCCAACATTATTTCATCAGACTTTGATTTCCAAATACTTCATGATTTGACATAAAAAATACCCATACTCTTAGTTGGCATATAATAAAACCAACTAAGGTATTTTGAACTCTCTTTGGTGTTTCATTCAAGAGTGATGAAGACTTCTCTCCTGCTAGGTATACATGTACTACTTATACTTGTAAAAGGTTTTACGACCGTCACCCTGAAGGTTGGGTTCCAACATTTTCACCTTGAAATCACTGGTATGTTATCCTCCTCAAGTGAAGTGGATGTTTCCATTTCCTCAACAACTTCTTCTTCCTCTTTCGTTGGAACTACGAAAAACAAACAGACGCATTTATTTAAAATGCTCATTTGTGTTATAGTGGTAAATTTTAGTTTACATTTTTTGTAAATTTGTTTTATTATTTCCCTTTGATTATGGGATAAAGAAAGAAAAAAAGACACAAGGTATGAATTTGATAAAACTAGGAAAACAATATACTTATGAATGCAACTGTAATCACAGACAGTGTACTATACAAGTATTATGTAGTTAAGAAGTCAGAGGCTAACTTTTCTAACCCAGCAGTTCTGCTTATACCTGACTGTAATACATGTACATTCATGCCCGTACATGTATCATCATTTCTTCCGGGTCACTTTTATTTGTTAACTTATGCAGAAGTTCTACAGGTAAAGTCTGCATATGAGCCAAGTGGCCCATGAGGCCGGAGCTTATCCTGGTTTCCGTAGCATGAAGCGACTAGGAGTATTTCTATTCCCCCCTGGATGGGATGTTAGTTCACCACAAGGGTTACTCCCAGCATTTAATTCGCTGGTAATTATTTATACACCTGGGTGGAGAGAAGCACTGTGAGAGTTAAGTGTCTTGCCCAAGAACACAACAGAATGTCCCCAGCCATGGTTGAATCCGGACTGCTTGATCTGGGGACGAGCGCACTAACCATGCAGCCACCGTGCCTCCCATAGCTCTATTAATATAGCTGGCTTTAACTATAAAGAATAATAACAAAACTTATCATTGCCCACCTGCACCCTGTGCTCCACTAGAGGTAGCCTGCTCAGAAGCCACCTGCTTCCCTGCAGGATCACTGTGCTGTCGTGCCAATGTTCGTGGTGCAGTTTTGGTCCCAAATGCCGTCAATATATTCTCAACAAAGCTTCGGCAATGTTCATTATCAACCCATACTCTGTCTCCCAGTGCATCCTCAACATAGACTTTGACAAACGACTCTGGCCAGTCATCTTCTTCTTGGTAGGCATAGAGCAGAATGTTACATGCCATCATGGGAACCAAGGCATTCACTCCCTTGGCAGGCTTGATGTTCATGGAGCCTCCTTCACGTTTTAATATGCTTGTGAGTGCCTACAAGAGAACAACATCAATCACTATTCATTTTTCTTGTTAGTGCATGTATACATAACCNCTAAGAGGTACCAAGATCATATTTTCTGGACGTGACTTGAATTTTTTTTCACCCCTAAGAGGTGCCAATTCTACAACAACACATTACCTCCTGTCAAATGTTTTCAGGGTTTGTACCCTTTCCAGGAAAAAATTGCTAGGACTTTTCCAAGACTTTTCCAGGACTCATTGATTTTTCCAGGACTCTCAAATTCACATTAACCCTTTCACTCTCGAGATCTCAATGTTACAAGTAATTCTCCTTACTGTCTGCCATACATTTCATATGTTTTACTTGAGTTTAACAGATTTCCAGAACTTTCCAGGACCAGTAGCCTTTTTCCAGGACTTTCCAGTCCTGGAAAATGCCACAATAAAATTCCAGGACTTTCCAGGTTTTCCAGGACCCGTATGAACCTTGTTTTTTGTCTCAATACCCTTGAAGGTACTGCAAAAATTCCCACTGTGGACCTTTTGAGGCCGCACACCCTAAGAGGTACCAAAACGGCCTTTTTCAACCCCTAAACGTTATGACGAACCCCCCCATCATTTATGTACAAGGGTCTCCCCCCCCCTGCAACCCCCAGGGAGAACACTTTGTCACCCTCCTTCGCCCAAACCCAACCAGAATAAGTATATGGTACTAAAAAGAAAGATCCAAATACCACACATTCGACATAAGCTTACATGTGTAAACCAAACAAAACAAGCCAATCATGCAAAGATCCTACATATATCCAAGACGAAGGTGAAGTCTCTACATATAACACCCTTCAGACACTTCTCACAGCCCGGACAAATAAGTGCAGACAAATAAATATTTCACATCAAGCAGCATTCCAGTTCCTATATCTCAGTCTCCAAAAGTTGCTACACTGCCACACTGTGCTAAATCTAGAGACAGATTGGGCAAAATAAGTATTCTCTCACCCCGTGGTCCTGGTTTAGGTCTTCTTGCTCCAGGTCCACCTTTGTTCATGTTGAGAAAGGCAAAAGAATTCGGTAAATCACTGCTTCAACAAAACAAAAAATTTGTCCACCATCGCCGCCATTTTGATGGCGATAAATTAGTTTCCAGGCTCCATATTGCGGGAGAAAAGCTAGAGCCGTCATTCTAACTTAACAGCGGTATCTATATTTGTAAACAAAATGGCGGACAAGTTGAAGTCAAGAGAAAAGACCTTAGACTCCTCTAAATTCGGCAAGCTCGAGCTACCGATAAGAGAGTATAGAAGCAAATTAGTAAAAGCAGTGGAAGAAAATGATTTTTTGGTCGTTGTAGGAGAGACAGGAAGCGGGAAGACCACACAACTTCCGCAGTTTCTCCACAAAGCTGGTTACACATCCAGAAAACAAATGATCGGTGTGACTCAACCAAGACGTATTGCGGCTATTTCTGTAGCCACGCGGGTTTCGGAAGAAATGAATTGTCATTTAGGAGGTGAGGGTTTTTTCTTGACAACTAAAACGTTCTGTGAGAATTTATTNTGACAGAAATTTTCCCAAACATGGCAAACCACTTGATCTGGAGTTCAGCGAACTAGCCATTGGGACACCATGTTTCGCTCCCCAAGAGAATGTATGGTCTTGAACCTTAAATAGATTGCATAATTAGTAATTTTATAGCCTAGCAATTGCAAACTCTAAATACTAAATGGTTATTAATAATAAATTGTTTGTAGGCTGTGGAGACAGTAATGAGGATCCATTTTGAGGAGCGTGCAGGAGATATACTAGTTTTCCTAACGGGTCAGGAAGAAATTGAACATGCTTGTGACAAGCTGTTTGAAGCCGCAGAGAAAGTAGATTACAGTCATGATGTTCATTATAGTGACGTAGAAGCCATGTTGATTCTGCCTCTGTATGGATCCATGACAACAGGTTTGTGTGGTTGAGCTCAATGGTTTTTAAGTCTCTTTGCACAAAATAATTGGTTTCTAAAGAAACTGTGGTGTGGTTACAATGGGCAAGAGGAACACTAAGCTTGTTTGTCAATTTGAATATTAGCTGCCATGGCAAGTTTGAGTGTTAGCACTTCATGATCTGGAGTAAATTGAGCAAGGACCAATGCTCAGTCTGTTGTTACCCATCTGTTATTTGGTATCAGGCTAAGAAAGAATNATGTGTTAGGGTATATAAACTTGTCTATAGCAATTTATATTTATTTCAAAACCAAAATCAGATACATGTTAACAATACATAGCATGAATAAAACCACAAAGTTGTTAAGTGAGAAGAGGTGGGTAAACTCTGTATACAATCCAGGTGGCTCATCAGGTGGGCACTTATCTCCAGTTTCTGTAGCATGAAGTGACTAGGAGTATATGTATTTCTACTCCCCCCTGGATAGGATATGCTAGTCCATTGCAGGGTTACCCCCAGCATTAAATTCACCAATACCCATTTATACACCTCGGTGGAGAGGGATGCTGTGAGAGTAAAGTGTCTTGCCCAAGAACGCAACAGCATGTACAGGGCTTGAACCTGGACTGCTCATTCCGTTGATGATCTCATTAACCATGGGGTCACTGTGCCCCCACTAGTGAGAAGAACCCACCTGATATTTCCATTTTATTGTCATCTATTGTTTGTAATACCATGCTGAGCAGGATTTTAATTTGACACATTCAGTTGTTTTTTTTTTAGCTTTCAATACATTGATCCACCAGAAGAAAGAATGATTTTAGAGGCATTAAAGCAGCTTTACTACTTTGGTGCATTAGACAGGTAAACCTTTGTTTTTCATTCCTATCTTCAAGATACCAGTTCTACTTGATTCTCATAATGTAAGTTTTTACAAACAAAATTTTGAAACACAACTTACAGTAGTTACAATGCATCAAACATTCTCGCTCACATACAATTGGTTTAAATGCATCATGTGACTGAACATTGTATTATTGTAAATCTAGGAATTGTAATCTAAACATTTTAATTGTAATTTTAAATTTTTAGCAAAGTTAAATTTAATTACACTACCCCACAATCTTTTAGCTTTAATTATTATCGTGTTTAAATAAAGTTTATCTATCTATCTATCTATCTATTTAACATGCCCCAGCTAAAACTGGGGAATATCTGATTGATATGTCCCAATGTTCAAAAGTGCATGTGCAGGGGAAAATATTTAAAGGATAATAACCACAATAGCCTCCATTTGACTTCAAAAATATGCTAGGATATCTGTCCCTGGACATTATCTGTTCCTTGAAGCTCAAAGTGTTCCTCAGGCTTCACTCTCAGAAAAGTGCTTGCTTCTCGGAACAAATAATGTCTGCAGACAAATATCTGAGCATATTTTTGTGCCAAATGGAGGATATCCTCTTCTACATTTAATTTTCTCCATCTGAATCATAACTGCTATTATAAATTAATTTTTCAGTGGTGGCAATGTCACTTCCCTTGGTCGCCAGATGACAGAATTTCCGCTCTCTCCAGGCCTTTCCAGGACTGTTATTTTCTCGGCCAGTCTTGATTGTGCAGACCTGGTACTTCCAGTGGCTGCCATGTTGTCCGTGGAAAATGTTTTTGTTACTCCAGGGGGAAAAAAGAATTTATCAGCAGCTACAAAGGCCCATAAGGATCTTGCGGAACAAGCAGGCGGGACAAACGACTTTGCCACGCTTCTGTTTGTCTACAGAAAATGCCATTCAAGGTTACTTAAATTACAAAAGCAGAGCAAACTTTATTTGTTGGCAGCGTGAAATGTCAAAAACCCGGCTTCTTTTTTAGTCTAGTTCTGGTTTTGTACTTGCCTACTGTAGTTCCTGTGCGGCTTTCTCCCAGGTCTTCACGGTCAGATGATTTCGGTGACATATCCGAGACGAACGGCCCGGGGCACACACTTTTCGCACCGGACCGCGTGACCTTAAAACGATTGGCATCGGCGAAATATTGAGGCCTTGGAACTAGGCAAGTTTTGTACAAGATTGTGTGGAGTTCTGATAGGCAATGTAACCAGAATTGTTTCATACGTCATAGGTGTGTGTCGGAAGCGGAAGGACTTACAGTCGAGATCAAAATGTTTTAAAATGCATTGCTATTCCTCCCAATTCAAATACGTTTTCCCATTGGAGGAGAACGTGTCACATGCCATGGGTCAAAACTCACTAACTCTCTTGGGCGACCAAAACTCAATAACTCCTCAGGGAAAAAAAAACTTGTAACTTGAACTTGCGACTCACACGTGATCAGGTCGTGCACCTTTAAACCGCGGCCAATTTTTAAGCCGTCGCCAAGCAAATAATTTTTTCGCAGTTTTTTCTATTTTTGAGTTGGGAAGTATAAAAAACACCTAATGGGTGGCCCCGCCGGAAACATTGATGGTCTCAGGGAAACAAATCTCACTGTTGCCCTCGGGGCTAATCTTTAATGCTTCGTCTTTCCGCGCTAAATCAGAGAAAGCAATGAATCTTTGAACAAGCTTCCTGAACGGTTTCCATTTTACAGAACACATTTCTCTTTTGCCTTCTGCAGCTCCTCGCCTCCGCGCTGGTGTCGTGAACATTACATTCATTGGCGAGCGCTGAAAATGGCGCACAACATTCATCGTCAACTGGAAACCATTTTACAAAGACAAGTGAGTGTAACAATCAGGTTTCCCTATACAAGTTTGGTAGCCACGGATTAGCCGCCTATCACGTGGATAATGCGTTTCCAGTAAAACTTGTTCTTTTAATTTTCCAGATTAATAAGAACGCTGTGCCAAAGCAAGTTACCGAGAAACCAAGTACAAACTCGAAAGATCTGCTCAGGAGAGCACTTTGTAGCGGATATTTCTGCAATGTGGCTCGAAAGTAGGCCATCTTTGATTTACATGTACGGTTTATTTAAAGTTGGCGTGAAATTGAATGGCATTCTTTTGGGGGAAAAAACCGCTTATTTTCCCTTGAACTTCTAATCGTTTATCATCTTTTTGTTGGTTTTCCAAAGCGCAATCAGAGCACATGTAATCTAATGGCTGGTGTTTTTAACTTAACTTTTTAACTGCCTCTGGCCAGAAAATGGCATGGAAAAGATTACTGATATACTATGTTGACGTTCGTTTTTGAACATCCTCGGAGACCCAGCCGGTAGCTAGTCGGAACTACGAGATATTTTCGAGCGATAACTTACATGTACCTCAAACCTTCACCCGAAAATATCGCGTCGCCCGAAAATGTCGCGTCGTCCCGACTAGCTGCGCCTGGGTCTCCGAGGGTCGTTTTTTAACTGATGTCTTTAAAGCAGTTAACGTAATGTTACGTCAGGAAACGTTACTTTGTTGCTACCTTCGCTGTGATTTCTACCAGTAGCTTTTCTCTCTTTTTATAGAAGTAGCACAGGAAACAGCTTTCGTACGATGGATGGACATGGCACTCAAGTTTACATTCATCCTTCGTCAACGGTAGGAAGCACGGGCGATATTACAGAATTCCGAGAGTAACCTTGTTACAGGGTGCTTTAGAGAGCGTTTTGATCGGGCAAGCGGAGTCAGGACAGGCTTGAGAAGAAAAGGAAAAAGAGTCCAAGGGTGTGCTGAATGACGGGTAACCCGTTGAGGTGTTAGCGTGGCCGAGTGGTTAGGGCGCCGGACTTAAAATCCGGAGGCCGCGGGTTCAAGTCCCGCTCCGGCTGACCACTTAGCTAGAGTTGTTTCTCGGTAGACCCTAGTTCAACTCCTCGGACATGCTTATAAATAGCCGACTGGCCTACCTCCCGTCAGTTGGGATTTTAAAGCATATTTTGTTGAGTTGATATATTTACTTCTTCCAGTTTAAGTGGCATGGCTGTGAATTAGCTAGGTGTAGCTAAGTGCTTTGACCACTATAGACAACAGCATTTGAACGTCGACGTTTTGTGGGTCCACGATGACCACGAGACAGGGGAACAAAATTACTGTATGCAGCGTTCTCCCAGCCAAATTTAAAACCCCTCAATGCAGGTTATTTTTAATAATAAATTAGAAGTCTGCGATTATTGATGCTCAAGAAGAGGTACTTCTTTAAGGTCATCGTGTCAATCAAATGCGATAATCTGAAGCCGTTACTTCGAAATGTTACGATAGTTTCTTCAAGTAAGAACATTCCTGTTCCTGAGCTAGCGCACAACCTTATTGATCTTCTAACTTTTGATAAATTATTGTTTTAATTTCTGTAGTTGTTTGGTTGTGAAGATCAGCTGGAGTGGATAATATTTCATGATATCATATGGACCTCAAAAATCTATGTGAGAACGGTGTGCCCGGTCAGTAATTTATTTCCATACTCGCTGAATCTTGTCTTACAAATTTAACCTGCTATCCTTTTTTCATTCAGTTCTTTTTGAGAGACTGTGCTCTTCATATTTCAAACCTCGCTCTAGCTATCTGGACGTTACTTAAATTAACCAGTTTCTTGAAATTGGGTTCATGTTATACTTGGGGTCATTTTTTTTTTCTTTCTACCCATTGTTGCGCTGTAGATAAGGTACGATTGGGTGAGAGACCTCCTGCCTAGGTTACATGAAGTAGACAGTTATTCATTGTCGGGCTGGGCTGAAGGGAACCTAACAGACAGTTGTCATGAAGGGAACTCACGTGACTTTGACCAACACCAAACAGGTTTGTTTATACCGGTTGCTTCAGTTTATCGTGTTCAGCTGTAGATGTTTTGTTTTCGTTTAGAAGAATAGCTTTTACGTATTTTGTTTCAGATTCTTCCGTTGAAGTTGTTAAAATTTCAAAGCGAAACACAGAAGACTCTATTACGGCTGCCAGGCAACGCTTTATGGAGAGAAAAAGAGCACGTGACCAAAAGCAGGACACGTGACTGGAGTAACAAGCCTGAGAAGGTGAAACGCTTTTATAAGGACAGGCAGCACGTGGATAGCGCCATGCCGAAGGGCACGTGCAGCCATAGTTAGCAGAGGAGACTAACTATGGTGCAGCAAGCAGATCTCCCGGCATCATGTGCATCAAGTGCAATGCAAAAGGTGCTGCTATTTACTTCATGAATGGGGACACACGACAAAAACGTTGATGAATAGTTTAACGGAGGCTCACATACACTGTAGCAAGAGCTATGTGGATTTTGGACCCTGAATTGCAGGACAATTTTTTGTCAGTTTTGTTTTGGACATTTTTAAAAAGCGCATCAAATTAGTTAATTTCACAAGCCTGCTGGACAATACTTGTAAAGACTGTTTTTTTATGTAACAACTAACAAGTTACTTTATTGCATGACTCATTGTTTGTTTTACATATTTTTCAATACTGACATATGTACATATATTTCATATTTTATTAACTATTATACCCAAAAAACAGAGCTGATCAACCACCTATGACTTGACGCTGCAGGGTTTTGAAAGGGAACAATTAGAATTTAATTAATTGTCCACTGTCGTATAGTTTGAAGAAATAGCACATGCGGTGAGTGCAAATTACTTCGCAGCCCTTTGCGAAATTACAAGCACTAAAAACGCAAAAAAGGATAACAATCAGTATGAGGACACGCAAAATAATGTCAGGAAGATTACTTCGCGCGCACTTTACACTTACTTTAATTTGTGACATCACAAATAATAAGATAAGATAAGAACTTTATTAGTGTGTCGAAGTCGCTAGCATACAATGTACACTAATTGGGGACACCTAACTACAATTACTTATCGAATTGTTATTGTTTATATTTTTCATTGCCGTTTCATTGGCATTACCCTAGCTTGAAAGCCGGAATGTTAAACTTTGCGTCGTTCAAGACTGTTAGCCATTTGGACAAATCACGGAATTTTCCGTAATTCGTGCTTTAATTTCTTTTGAAAAGTCGCGATGAGCTAAAAAAAATAGCCCGGTGGTCTTGCATCAATTTTGAAACAAACTGAAATAAGGCTTCATTGCTCGGTTTTAACCCCCGGGCGCATTGTCATTTGAAGGTCTCGTTTTGAAAGAAAGGCAAAATAAAGTGGCATTTTCGAAATTTGGCCCTCGTGGCATTCGCGCTTCTAGTTTCCTTCTCCGACGGTCTCTCCCCACCCCTTTGAATTAAACGCCTGCCCCGTAGATTACAAAAAAAATCAAAACGTCACAGTTTTAACTAGATGTAACTTTGTCTTTTGCAGATAAACGGTCTATACACCTTTTCTTTTTGTCGCTTAAATCTTACATGAATCAAAACTGGCCATTATTGTCCATAATTAGCTCTTATTAACCGAGCAGGTGGTCTGTATGGGAGAATCTTGACCGAGGTCGGGAGTACAGACCGAACGCAGTGAGGTCTGTACACACGACCGAGGTCAAGATTCTCCCATACAGATCGACTAAGCTCGGTTAATAAGATGCTTATTATATGGCAAACAAGAAAAAATTAATTCGTTTTATGTAATTGGTTTGCACTAGCTGACATTTTGCTTGCGAACGGTGATGGGCTGAACTTAATTCTGCCAAACTCGTCCTCTTCGTTATTTTCCTCATCAGGCTTGGCACTTCCATAACATGGATATTTTCTGGAACAAATATTTTGGAAGAAAATCGTCAATATTTTTGTATTTAGTTTGCAACATTTTCACGGCAAAATGTAATCGGTCGAGATGCCGGTCTAGATGGGGAAAATCTAGACCGCGGTCAATATCGATCTCAGCCAATCAAATTCGTGAATTCGGTAGTTCCCAGTCCTTGTGAGACACAGCCAGGTAATAATATATTGTCCAAGAAAACACGCAACAATCAAAACAAAACAAATGAGACCAATATCCCGCCCGCATCCTGACTGAGTAATGTGGTTTATATCGGTTCTTTTTTACAACATGGCTTGCCACTAAAAACTCCAGAATGAAGCTAACCTGCCACCAGGCGTTCTTTTTGAGTTTTTGGCGAACGGGAAAGAACCTGGCTGCAGGATAGAACGATGCCAATAATAGGTAACAAAAGAGCCTACAAAGTTATAAATATAGATTATTGACCAAGTGTGAAATTAATCTAGCGGAATATTGGCCAGGTTTTGTTTTCGTAAACACACCGAGAAACGAGGCCAATATTCACGACCTATTAAGCTTGGTGCTAGAGGGCAGATTTCAGTCCCACAGCAAAACCATATACTCATTGCACGTCCGCCACAAGACCTCTCTACTGTGCAATAATTTTGATATTTTAGTCTTGTTTACCATCTGTCAAGAACAATCCGGTTGTTGTTTACAAGAGAAATGAATGAATTCCTTGGTGGTCATAGCACGGGCACGGAGCACGCCGGCTAATCCTGACAAAGCGGATCAACAGATAAACCTGAGAACAAAAAGATAAAATACGATAGAGGAGTTTTCGTCCGCGCAATCAAGATACGGTCAGCCGGAACACAATGATAAATTAACTCATAAGACGAGCTGTGATAGTCTTAAAAAATTCTTTTCTTCTGTCTGTGTTGCTGTTAACGCTGAGGTGAGTAACGTAGTATACGGTCGTTTAGCCCTCAAGTCGATTAGCCCCCAACGTTTAGCCCTTAACTAGAAGTCGAAACCACTCTCTATTCCCCGTTCTTTTTGGCTCATCGGCCTCTGGTTGGGGGCTAACAGGCTACTAAGAACTAATAATCTACTCGAGAGCTAAACGACAGGCAACCAGCAACATATATCGCGCTGTTGTTTGTTTGCTGAACAGAAGTGACTATAAACTGATGGCCTTGTAAAATTGCATTCAAACGGTGAAACCTGGAGTACTTTCGTAAAAATGATAACTACCAATGGCGTCCTCGTGCAGAAAGCAAAGGTTTTGTGTGTCTTGACAACCTGCCTAATATTTAACTGAGGCTGTGGAACGCTCAAATCTCATTTGGTCCAGTCTTGAAAGTGAAATCGCTCGATATCATTCTACGTTCAAACAAGAAACCTGAATAGTTTGTGTCATTTGTGGTGGTTAAGGTGTAAGGAAACGCTAATTTGTCCTGTTTCCGCAAGGATATCAGAATGTTTGCAATATCGTCATGGAGGAGGTTGTAAACTTGTGTATGTTTTCAGTAGTTCCACGACAAATTTATGAAATTATAACTGATTTTCATTAGCCTATTGGTAGATGCTCTCCGCGACATTTGAAGCAACACTACATTTTTGTAATTATTTCATTTATTTTATTGGTTTGAATTGTTTTCCAATTGTTGTTTTGTTGAATTCTGAAGTTCGAAGGATTAATTAATGACTCTTGATTTACTTGAACGAATCACTAATTAACAGGGCCGTCAAACGTAATCGATGTTAATTTGTAATTTTGGCTAAGAGCCGTGTCGAGAAACTCGGACCACACGAAATCGAGAAAGAAAGACAAGTTGATTTTAACGAGGAACCTTTTCTCCAATTTTAATCTAACTGTTGGGAAATTGTTTTGAAACCTTGACACTACGCAGACTACGGGTAACTGGGCGTCAGAGGCTAAGAGAAGCGTGCAGATTACAGGCGGTTTGGCTTGACAGAGCGCTAACTAAGCGCAACTAATACACGAACGTAGAAGCACGAATTCCGGCAGGCTGATCCAAGAGCAATGCATATGTCTTTCTTTCATACGGTATAGCTCGCTTCACGGTTAACTATTCTTCATTTGCTTTACAATGTACTCCAACGTCGATGGCAATTTCGGTCTGAGGCCCTGTCAAAACTACGCCGGATGAATTTGAAAACGGAGATTTCACTCTGAAAACACATCAAAGGTTTTCCGTCCACACTACGCCGGAGAAATTTGAAAACGGAGGTTTCACTCTGAAAACGCATCAAATGTTTTCGGTCCACACTACGCCGGTGAAACTTGAAAACGCAACAATCACTGGTCATTTTGGATTTGTGTTCAAGGAAAACTCGGTCAGGAAAATCAAATGATTATGGTGACGTTTTCGAAAAAATCCGTTTTCAAAATGTTTTCTTACCACACGAAAACGAAAAGCCGACGTTTTCAAAGTCGTCCTGTTTGAAGAGCGTTTTAGAAGAGCTCCGTTGTTGTGACAGATTAGTGTGGACGGTAGGCCCAACCCTAGAAATAATGCTGCGTTTTCAAATTTCTCCGGCGTCGTGTAGACGGGGCCTGAAACTACAAAATTGCCCTATTCACGGTTAACTTTTCTCGTTTGCATTACAATATAATACAACACCAAGAGAAAATGAGGGGACTCATTTTCTCTTGACAACACGTATGTGAGGCAATGTCGCGCTATTTTGTAGTTTCTGCCCGATCGAAAGTGCCCCGCATCCACGTTGCACTACATTGTTGTGCAAATGAGAAAAGCTAGCCGTGAAAAGGGCCGTAGGCCAAAATTGCCTCTCATACAAACTGGGTTATATTGTGATGTAAGTGATAAAAGTTAACCGCGAAAAGCGCTATTGTTTTGCAGTCCAAAGGACTCCATGCTAATATGGCCCATTCATTATAAAACGTGCTTTGAATGTAAGGTATTGCAGAGGGTATAAGGTTAAAAAAGAGGCCGTTTACGTCTTTACTGGCGGGCAGATAGTTTTCAAAAGTCCCTTGTTCTTGTAGTTTAGCAGAAGAAATATAGTGGCAATAAAGAGTGTAAAAAAGCTTTATGGCATTAACAAGTCCTAGTGAAAATTACCAACCAAACATAGAAATACAATTCAATCGTAATTTACAAATATCCTATTAAAAAGCCTAGTTGCTCAGGTTATATGACTGTTAATGTGTCTCCCTGTGTCAGGAACTACGGCCTTCAATTTAGCGCTTAAATGAGGCCACAGAGGCAGTCGAAGGAAATTTTTTTGTCATTCGTCAGACAGATGATAATTCTCGCGTTCAGTCTTAGTTCTGTGTAGTCATAGGGCAATGGAGTGACTTTTTACTTCCTTGTTTGAAACCGTTTTGTCTTCGGCATAAAGTGAGTATTGAAAACTGGTTTATTTAGCATGCACACGAAATTAGCTATTTATCAATGTTTTTCTTTGGTCTGTATACTCGGCGGTGTTGAGTATAAGATAGTTAAAATGAGGACGGTTTTTATTTTAATAACTTTCAGCTTCTTTACATGGAAGGAGTAGGCTCCGTTCGTCATGTTCGATCCGCTGGACGCATGACCCAACGCACTTTCTCATCAACAACGGTGAGTTCAATAGACGACAACATTTCCCTTAGCTCAAGCTACACTGCAAACTTCAAACGCTCCTATGGATCATCGAAGACTTCTGGTGCTGACAACTCGGGCGGTAGGGTAGCTGCTGGAAGTTCCCGAATGAAGAACGGTCGGGGTCTTCGGAGGGGGTCCGTGCTTCCGAGCGATGCCAACGGATCATCCGAACCATCGTCAGCGAAAGGACATCGATTGAGCATCTACTCTTTAAGCGGATTGGCGGAGGTGGGGATCAGAGTGCGCAGGCGTCGACGCAGTACCATGGACTCATGGGGGAAAAACAGGACACCAGGAGAAACAGAGTACTTTGACAAGGTAAATATAGCAGGGGGAATGGGGACGAGGACTTGCAAGGCTTCAAACCTTCTAGGAGAACTCTGCATAAACAGAGGAAAAAATTATATTGTCGTAACTTCAACTAATGTTCGGCATTTACATGAAAGGCTAGCTGGTAAACATAAGCAAGATACGCAGACGCAGTAAAGCGCTGCTAAGTAGCGCCTTTTGTAAGGAAATTGTGCTTGCAAATGATGCTAATTACGTACATCTTAGTGTGTCGGCTTATGCTTGTGCTTATGCGCAAGTGGAAACCAGCCTTAATCAACGAAACGGTAATCGGAATTACATTCATTTTCGAGGATAATCGGAAAGAAGTTTTTGAGCACCCAGTAACAATCGAACAACTCATCATTAGAGGTTTTCTTTCCTAACTTAGAATTTTTTCTTAGGAGACTCAGAGAAATAAACTGCCACATTACTTTTCATAAATTACAGCGGTTTTCAATTGACTGTCGTAAAACCTAGTAATCACTCTAGCCAGTCACAAAGGACACAGACAATACAGTGAACCAATCAAAACTCCAAGTAATTAGATGTAGCTGACGCGCGTAAAGCGCGGCCGGGATTAGAGCGCTTTTCATTTGAGT